ATGGTTCGTAGGTAGAGAGGAAGAAGGAGGACAACGAAAGAAAGATTGTGACACACTGTTTCATCGTAGTTTCAGCGACTCATGAGGAGGTTGAATCCTCCACGTAATGGGATAAGGAAAGGGTCTTGTTGCAATGGGCCTCTTCCTTGAGAACCTTTCACTAGACCGAGGTGTGGGATACGTGGCCCAGGGATGCCGAGCAGTCATCATTTCAGTAATCTGGGAGCACAGGAACCTGTCATGCCTCTACAGTCGGGTCATGTTAGACTTGGAGACTAAGGCGATTATAAAAACCAGATTGAGCCACCAGATTCGAGTGGACTTGAACTGTAGGGGGAGTCGAAAGACGTGGTAAATGTTTCAAATGGTTCAAAGATACATGTGGTGTGGGGAAGAATTGGTTGGCATCAATTGAAGGGGACTTGGGGGGTAAGTTAAACCACCAGTACTTGGCCCAGCTATAGATGCCGAGCCTGGAATGCCCCTGCGCACAAATGTTTGCTGAAGCCCTGGGGTACCGCTTCAATTTCTTCTGGCTGGCACTTCCAGCCATTGTGGTCCGGTACCCCGAAGCCCTAAAAGCGTGGCGCGTTAACGGGGAAGCGCCACGACCGATAGCTGAGTCAAGTACTGGTGGTTTAAAAGTATGTTCTTGGTTTGAGGTACTAGGTCGTAGTTAAGTACCTGGGCGCTGGGTTCTCACAGCCGCAGTAGGCTGGCAGATATGGGGGTTTTGGGGAGGCCCTGGGGCAGAGTGTCAGTTGGTAGAGGAGGTTATGGAGGGGTCGCATACACCTCATATCTAGGCTAGTCACAGGTAGGTTTAGATTAGATCTGAAGAGCAGAGTGATCGATTGAATTCTTCTGAACAGCAAGTATATCACTTAGACTTGGATAGGGTTACAGTATGCACAAGGCAGTTCACGTTCTTCAGCAGTAGAAGAAAGCTGCCAGCCTTGAGTGCTGCCCTCCGTACCTGGTTAAGGGCCTGGTTGCACTACTCTCCATACGCCAGGTTTGGCGAATAGGCGCCTGGTTGCACTTACTCGCCAAACTTAGCGAATGAAAAATATGTCAGAGTGCTCGCCACGCCGTCGACACAAGTTGTGGCGAGTGTTTTCTATTTTCCCTCCTGTGCACGGCGGTTTGTTGAGGGTGTTCCTCGGACCTCTACACAAAACTACTTTCTGGAGAGTGCACGGCTTCACGAGTCGAGATCAGGCAGACAATTTTTTTTAACTTTTCTGTAGAAGAAATATTGTGGTGAGTATGCGCAACCAGGCCTCCAGTTCGACACAATTCTCATTTTTTTCACTCTCCACCCTTCCGTGCCGGATGGCGAGTAGTGCAACTAGGCCCTAAACTGAGGGCATACTCACACAGGGACCTATATTCCCAAAATCCCCAAAAAAAGGGGAAAAGGCTGGTCACAAGGATCTACCAAATTCGCAAAATGTACTATTCCTGTGCCCATTTGTAAGCGGCATAGGAAGCTGCGGGGCAAGGGATTTTGCGGTCACCTCTGGATGTGACAGCAAATGCCCTATTTCATTTTTTGCATTTTCTTCGAAAATTGGCAGAAATTCGTTCACAAAAGTTCTTGCACAATTTGTGGATGGCGCCGCGTGACCAGCCAAGTACCAAATCCCCATTTCTCCAGACGGCGGCGACCTTGTCCCATCTGAAAAGTACAGCACTGTGACATGAACCATGCTCAAAACCTCAAATCGGCCCTTCCCATTGCGGATTTGGGGTTGCCGTGTGAGGGCCTCGCCACACCACTCTTGAAACTGCGTTTTCAAGAGTTGGACGCGTCGCCACACAGCCACTTGAGAGTTGTAGCCCGAAAACTCTTTCGAGAGTTGTCAGAACCTCGTTTCAAGAGTAGCACTCGAAACTCCGAAACGCCCAGCCTGCAGCACCGCTCTTTTCAAGCGTCCTCCCGAGGGCACTCGAAGGGCCCTTGATTTTTGAGAGGTGACGCCATTCGGAAAAAACTAAGCTGTACGACTGTCGTTTTTCATCGTTTGTCCAACACCATCGCCCTTTTGAGAGTGCTGTGTGGCAAGGGGCCCGAAACTATTGAAAACCCAACTCTTGAGAACGTCTGACAGCTCTTGAAAAATTTCCCCGTTTCAAGAGTGGTGTGGCGAGGCCCTGAGTATGCCCCGACGCTGGGTCCTGTAGCCGGTGGATGGTTGCCATCCGGATTGCTTGTGAAGAATTCCTGGTAAAAAAAAAAAAAAAAAAAAAAAAAAAGAATTCCTGGTCTCTATTGTTCATTGCTGTTTATAATGGAATTACTTGTCCTTTGCGGTCCACT